TTTATTTAATATGGCCTCGATTATTCCTGACTTGAGTGATCTCGTTGGTGTTGTGTTGTTTTGTGTATCCTTTTATGCGTGCAGATATACGGCAACGAACCTGGAGAGCTCAGTTCGCTCTCCTCTATATCTACGGAGATCAACTACCAAAGGTGCACAGTACATTTCCGTGTCTTGACGGACTGCGTTGGGATGGGTTTTTGGCTGACTTCTCCAACACTTTCACGTGTACAGCGGCGTCAGATCAAGGGCAACAACATTAAACATGTTATATGAGCGGTTATAAGGACGCTCAAGCCACCACATTTGTCTTCTTTGAATGACTTGAGAGGTAATCACGATGCTAGCACACGGAGAGTGAACTGCTTCGTTCGAAACGAGGTATGCATACTGCAGTCGAAGGACGGCTCTTAGGCAACGGTGGTGAAGCCTGCAGTCTTCACTCGTGTGCGCACAGTCAAGCATCAAAATCGTTTTAAATTTATTGTACGGATGTCTAGTGCACGCGAATGTTAATTTTTGGGATGCAATCGCCGCGACAGGTCTAGGTGCTTCTTCCACTTCCACGCGCAGAATAGATCCGAACGGCGGTGTCGTTCTATCTCTATTTGACAGAATCCTCACACCAATATGTCTGAGGCTGTCCACTTTTCCAAGCCGTTACTCTCGAGGAGCGCCTTCTTTTGATCATAAATGCTGCGCGAAAATACAGGTCCTTGATGGATCGGTCAATCTGTGTGCCAAGTAGACAACATGAACACCGCATAGGTGCCTTCTGAGACTCTCCTCTTTGAAATAATTGATCAGTATGCGCGACAGAGTGCAGTCTTTTCAAACAACTGACCAAATATCGAGGGATTAAGAGAGGTTGTTATGAGCCGGAAATGGAGCAAGGACTAAACGAAGGCAGGTACCGCTGGCAACGATTATTTTGACCGACAGACATTCTATTTGCATTACCTGACAAAAGAGTTAATGATGAACAGAATTGAACGCTACAGCAAAGTCAACAAGATAGCTGACCGCAGTATCTTGGTAACCATGGTGGAGTGTTAATATATTTGGTTGTATCTACATCCACCTTACAAGCAGGCCTAGGTTACCTTCGTTCTGAAGTCAGACACTCCGAAACCACACGTGAATAACTGTGACAAGGAACTTCGCAGTATTGTCGATGCGGCTTATGCTGTAATAGTTCTCACGCATTGCTTCATTTTTCAACCATCAGGAATTATCGCACCTTTCACGTTTGCTTAATCACATAGTGAGACCGGGAGGCGCCTGTCAGTGTAAGACTTGTTGACGTTGTTAGGTTACCGCCTTGTCTGTATACCTTGCCTCGCAGCCTCAGTATTGCCTAAACGTTTACCTTCTGGGAGCGCGAGTCAATAGACACTTTGTAGGCTGAAGTGGAATAGGATTCCGCTACAGAGTATAACAATCTGACCGTGAAAATTATGGTGCCTGAAGTGCTCACACCCAGGCTTCTGTTTTCGTCGAGTCAACAACAATAAAGTAATTTTTAATGTTGCGAAAAGTTAATAAATGCTGGGGTTCTTCCCATTGACTTAGTTAGTGGGGGTTTTGAGTGTAGCGTATG